AAAAAAAAACTTTATTTTCCACCAAGGTGGAATTTTTCCTTTAGCTCTCTACCCATAAAATAAAACATACAACCACAACATCAACAATTTGTGCATTAAATAAAACTCTTTCTATGCCATAGTTAGATGTCATTTAAGAATAGTTGTTGCACTGGGAATAAATGACTTCTTTTATTGGGTGTGCAACGATGCAGAAAATTCACGATTCGGTTTGATACTTTAGTCTCACGGTACAATTTTTTTTGATACGAAACAGAGAAATTTCTATGCCCTTCTTAATTTGTAATTTATTGAAATTAATTATGAACATTTGTTTAACCTCAAAAGTAACAGTTTGTAAACGAAATGTTGCTGAAACAGAAAGTTTCTCGGTGGATCTGCGCTCGACAATGCAGCCTAGGTGGAGTAGTCGAACACTGATCCACTGATCCTTTAACACAGAGCATCTTCAGAAGACAAGTTGATAAAATAAATATTAGAAATCTGTATTGTTCCATATATGTGTGTATTGAATAGGTCCATACAGATACATGTAGTGCTTCACCTCTATCTTGTAGATTTTAATTGTCAAAGGGACCCTACAACGCCTTCCTGAACTCAGAGATTCAAACTGATTAAAAATAGGATGGCTGTAATTTGCTGAAACTGCTAAATATTTCAAGTTCATGTCTAAATTTTTTAAATTGTTTTAATAGATGCGAAGAAGCCAGCAATCAGTGGAAAAACAAGACTTAAGGCCGGTGGGACTCTGACTCTGACCTGCACTGCTGATAGTTTCCCTCAATCTGTCATCAAGTGGARCAAACATGGCATCAACAAAACCCTGAACAGTCAAAGCAAACCTGAGTCTGGATCATCTGCTCTTATCATCCCAAACGTGACTGTAGAAGATTCTGGACTGTATTTCTGTACAGCAGGAAATATGACACAAAACATTACAGTCACAGTGATGAGTAAGTAACAATGACAATCAGTTGTCACATTCATTTTTATTTTATAAAACAAATAATGTGAACGTTGCAGTTTGTGTGATTATTTATGTTTTTATTAAATCTCATCTTAAAGATCGGAGACTTGACATCACTGGAGAGAAAGAAGTAACAGAGGGCCATTCTCTCAATCTGACCTGCAGCTTAGACATTTCCCCCCCACCGTTTATCACCTGGACCAAACATGACGTCAACACAACCATGAGCAACGGTACGGGAGYGGCCACGCTTTTCCTTTCTAACACAACGACAAAACAATCCGGACGGTACGTCTGTACAGCAAAACACCTCAACAACACCCTGACAGGAGAAGTGGATGTAAAAATAAAATGTAAGTTTGAGGGTTTCAAACTGTATTACTGTTTTCTCATAAAGTTGTTTAATGGGACTGAATCTGAAATCATTTGCTTCCACAGATGTGAGGAAACATCAGATTACTGGAAACACGGCAGTGAAAGAAGGTGAAACTCTGAATCTGACCTGCACTGTTCATAGTTTCCCTCCATCAGTAATAAACTGGACTAAACATGGCAGCAACAGAACTCTGGTGAATAAAACCGGACCTGACTTTGGAAAGTCTAATCTTGTTCTTCATAATGTGACCGTGGAGGATTCTGGGCAGTATATTTGTACAGCAAACGCCCTGACTGACAGCATTAATATAAATGTGATTTGTAAGTAAACCTTAGAACTGTTCCTAAATATTATATATATATTTTTTTTTTCATAGTTGATGTGTAAATCAACAGAAAACATTTTGAATTTGTTTTAAAGATCAGAGG